AGGAATGGATTCAGGCATGGCTAGATCCGGGTGTAGGAATGGATTCAGGCATGGCTGGATCTAGGTGTAGGAATGGATTCAGGCATGGCTAGATCCAGGTGTAGGAATGGATTCAGGCATGGCTGGATCCAGGTGTAAGAATGGATTCAGGTATGTCTGGATCTAGGTGATCCAATAGCTGCCTCTCTGTCTCTTGCCCTGCTTTCTCCACGGTGGCTTTGTGCTTAGGCAGCCTTTGGTTTCTGTGGAGGGGTACCAGGCTCCACCAGCATCACTCTCCCTGCAGGGAGGACCCCTCTTTGCTGATTGTCCAACAGGCCTGCCTCTCACTGGTCTGAACATGGTTTGGTGGCCACCTCTGAGCCATCCTCGTACCTCTGATTAGCCTGGGTTCCATGGGACAGGGGCAGGATGGGATGGAGTGGAGTGGGAAGAGGGCCCCGAAGGAAGACTGAGCTGCTGTTTCCAGAGGAGGGACTGGATGGGGGCGTGCAGGGACCACTGAGGCCCTGACACCCTGTTGCTGTGTCCCAGGTCCTCTTGGCAAGAGGGCAGGGCTGTGGGAGCTGGGTGCACCACCCATTGCAAGGCCCTGTGTGTCAGGAGGAGGTTGCCGCAGGCGGAGCACGAGAAGGGGTGTAAGGACCGCTGGCCCCAGGGAGGCCTAGTGCTGCCTGCCGTCCCCAGCATCCCCTGGGATGCCTCCCGGCTGCCTCCTTGGGACAGGCACTGCTAGAGCCCCAGGCTGCCCCATCCCCCTGGATGGTGGCTGTGCTGGCCACTGGCCTCCCCACGGCCCAGCACCAGGCCAAGAGCCAGGGTGCAGGGAGGAGGCAGTGCTGGGAACTCTGGAGGCCAGGAGGGCCTGGCCCCCTTTCCCTAAAACAGTTGGAGCCCCTCACCCCGTCTGAGGAACCCTGAGCCCTTGGCAGCCAGCCAGGGCCGTGTGGGCTCCAGGTGTGTGAATGAGCCGGGGGACACCGTGCTGGGGGCAGGGGCAGGAGGGCCCCCCGTGTCCTCGGTTGTGTCTGTCGAAGACACTGGGCTGGCCCACACGCGACTTGGGCAATTGCCGCCCGGGGGTGGGGGTGCGGTGGGCAGGGAGCCCCGTGATGTCCGTACCTCTGAGGAACCTTTCACACTGGGTCTGAGAACCTGACTGACCGGCCCCAGCCTCCTGCCTTGCTCAGGAGGCCATCATAGTGAGAGCACCTGTTGATTCCCATTATACAGGTGGGGAAGCTGAGGCAGACGCTGGGGAAGGGTGAGTCTCGACGGGCCGGGGTGCTGTGTCCTGTCCCTTCAGAACGTTCCCTGTCCTACCAGCTGCTTCCCAGGGGCTGAGGGTCCTGACCTCTCCCCTCCTGGGTCTCCCTCCCGGACATCAGTGTCCCCCACAGCGTGTGAGTAACGTCGCTGCCGGCTGGCGGTGTCCGGGGCGTGAGCTCCCGACGGAGCCTTGCCGAGACTGGGCCGGCCCTTGTGCTTCGAATGACGGCAGGATGCACGTCAGTGATTTTGAAAGGAAAGGTTCATCACTCTCAGGGCTGGAGGGCGCGTGGCAGGCCCGGGGCCACACAGCCAGGTGGCAGGGAGAGAGAGAGAGAGTGCAGATGGGGGGGTTCTGCCTTTATTGGGGTGGAAGGGAGAAGGGCCTGGGGTTTCGGGGGCTCACTCTTTATTGGTGAATTTAAAACCTACGAGTGGCTTTAAAGGCCGGGCAGGGAGAGCAGGGTCACTTGAGTGGTCCACCTTCCAGGTCACTCGGGGCTTTCTACGAGGAGAACCGCATGGCTGGGGTGGCCTGGCTCTCTCTAGCTTGGCAGCTGGCTACGCGATTATTCGAGATGGGTGTCTGTGAAGTGGCCGCCTCTCGATCAGAAGCCGACTGTCGGGACTCACGCCGTCCACTCTGTGGAGGGGCAGGAGCTCTAGGGAGGAAGGACCCCAAGTGTGGTCTCCTGAGAGGTCTGTCTCCTGAGTTTGGGAAGCTGAGCCCCCCAGCTGCCCAGCTCACCCCTTGAAGGCGGAGGGCCCTGGACACCCTGCGGCCCCAGCATCAGGAGGGGTTCTGCACTCCAGTAGTCAGAGGGGGCGGCTCTCGATTCCCACAGGGTGGGATACGCTCCCCCATGTCCACCCGGGAGGATGCTGGGTGCTGAGAATGGGGGGCCGGGCCTCTCACCTGCCGTAGGGAGGCAAGGGTGTGGCCCTCCGCCTCTGCAAACAGCAAGAGGGCCGAATCTGTCAGGTGGGGACCCGCCTTTCAGTAAAAGTCACGCAGGAACAACCTGTGTGCAAAGCTCCATTCACAAAGGTGGGGGTTCCCTGGAGCCACCTGGTCGGCCTCATGCGGACCCCTGCTTGGCCCCGTCGTGGGCACCGTGACCGGTCTGAGCGCAATGACCGTGCAGACGGCTTGCCCACTCTTCAGCCTCGTGAGGCCCCGACGCAGCCCAGACCCACAGATGGAGGTAGCTCAGCCTCTGGGGCCGAGCCCGCTGCCCGGCTGTCCTGCCCAAGGGCCTCCGCCTGTGCCCAGGGGCCCGGAGCCAGGTGCGGGCGGGGAGCCCCCAGGCGCACTACGCAATGGCGCCCGTGACCTCCAGCCTGAGCGCCTGAGGGCACAGCTCCCTCCCCACCCAGCGGCTCAGGGAGAGGCGGGGCCACCCCCACTCCAGGCTGGTGACCTTGGACGAGAGGCTTCCCAGGCCAGGCCTTGGGGCGAGAAAGCGGTTGTGCAGTCCTGTATTCCCGGGGCTGTGACTCAGCACGAGGCCAGGTGTAAAGGCGGGCGCATAATCCGCGGGCCAGCCGTCCTCTGTGCCGCTGGGGACCTGGCTCCCCAGTCGTGCGGGGGCCCAGCAACAAGGCACGGCAGGCACAGTCCTTGAGTGGGGGGACACCAGTCCTCTGGGCTGGCACGTCCCGCTGTCTGGACCTTGGGTCTCCTCTGCTCTTTGGCCCTGCAGGTGATCGGGCAGATTCCTTCCCATGGGGCGGGCAGGTTCCCACAGTCAGACTGCCCTCAGGAGAGAGGCCGCTGCAGGCCCACGGAATGACCCTAGCCACCGCTTTCGTGGCCAGGGCAGAGGGGCTGACGGCCCACCTGAGGGGCCGGTCTGTCCTGGGATCAAGTCCCCCGCGACTCTGGGTCCTTGCTTGTGAGTCGGAAGTGTCAGCGTGTGGGGGGGCCCAGCACGGGGCTCTGCCCAGCCCTGCGGGAAGGACTGGTCACCGTCCTCAGACCTCCTTCCTGCCACGCTGGACCGGCCGAGTAGCCGAGTCGGGCAGTAAAGAGGATGGGGCCCCAGTAGGCCATCTGGCCCCTGGGCAGGCCTTGGAGGGGTCCCGGAGCAGATTCCTGGGGGGACGGAGAGCTCCCTGAGGTCACTGCCGCCAGGGTCCCACCACCCCATGCGGCTGAGGGGGCGCAGGGGGAGGCCTCTGAGCTGGGAGGCCGCCGTGGGTGTGGGGCGCTGAGACCCATCCCATCCCTACGCCTCTTTGCCGGGTGATGCATGTGGGGTTACTTAAGGCGCCGGGCCTCAGTTCACTTGTCTGTATGTGGAGCCGGTAAGAGCATCATCAGGATGGCAAGGATGAGGGTGGTGGTTGGTCCACGGGGAGTGTGTGACAAAGCTAGACGTTGCGTAGGAGAAGGTGGGGCGGGGAGGCAGGGGTGAGGCTCTGTGTCGAAGAGGGACCAGAGGGCCTGGGAGCAGCTGTGCCCAGGAAGGACCCAACGCCCCAGGGCCTCTGTGGCCACCTGCCCACCTTGGGGTCCCTGTAGGAAGAGCCCTTGCCCTGGGTGGTGGCCGTGGCTGCCTACCCCACGTGGCTCATTGCCAGCACCAGCAGCTTGTCAAGTAGCTTCCCACCTCCTGCAAGGGGAGTGAAGCCTAGCGGGTCCCCCCTCCCAGCTCTGATGATGCAGGAAAGGCAGAGACGGCAGGTGCTCCGCTGAGCCTGGCCGGCTGGCCTCCCTCCACCCGCTCCTCCCAGCTTCTCCGACAGTCTGTGGAGCCGCCTGCCCCGCCCATCCAGAGTGCCCTCCCTTGCTGCGCCCCTTCCCGCCTCACCTGGCGCCTTTCCCTGGTGACAGCTGTTGTGGGCGGGCGGGCCACAGGGGGTAGGGCTGTGGCTGGCAGGGGCAGCAGGTGCCCACAGAGAGTTGCACAGCCGGGCAGACGCTTGGGGTTAGAACCTGCAGATGCTCCGGGGGCTCGAGACCCCAGCAGTCACCCAGGGTAGACCTTCCTGGCCTGGGGAGGGGTCACTTCTGCCCAGGTGCAGGAGAAGGGAGGGTACAGCCCAGTGTGGACCCCCGGGAGTAGATTCTCAGAAAACTGGGCTGGCCCGAAGAAGGGGACAGGTATGCAGGGGGAGGGAAAGGACGCCCCCTCCTCAGGGAGGCTCTGCAGACCCAAGGAAGGCGTGGGGGTGGAGCTCAAGGTAATGTAGTGGGCTCAGCTCGCCACAGTCTTCAGCTCCAGGACCCCAGCCCGCCTGCCCTCCATAGTGAGCCCCAAGCTCACTTCCTTCTACGGGCCGCAGTGGGAGTTCCTCTGGGGTGCACAGAGCTGAGACCCGGCCAGCGCCGGGTCATGGAGCCAGCTCCGTGACGTCCCCTGCGGGG